TACTTCTAATACGGTCTCAAAGAAGGAATAGTTTGAGAAAAGTTTGTAAGCCAGCTAAAGATGAAGCTGCAAAGGTAACCTCTGGTAACAGATCTCTCCAATTAGAAGAGGTGGAAATGTTTGAAACCTCTCACCTTCTTTAAGGGTGTAGATTTCACCCAATTTCCACTGCTCTCGCTGAAAAAAGCCCCTACAGATTTGCCACAGCTTTGCCACTACTTCATAGACAGAGCGGGGTGAGAGAGAGAATAGCCCCCTATCTCGAGTCCGGTTGGTATTCAAAAAGCTAGCAAGGGAAGAACATTGTAGTGTGGATGAATTGGTAAAGAAGATGGGATCTATAATCTCATTAAAAGTGAAAGCTGAAGTCCTGAGATGCCCGCAGAGATTTCAGAAATTTTGGAAGACATTTCTACTGCTGTTATCAAGATATTGAGGGATGAGGAACTTACACCTTGGCACCTTACTTACTGGACCATAAAGATTAGAGAAATTTCCTCACAGTTAAAAGTACAATATACTTTTATATTTAGAGAAGGCAACTAGCCAGCCAATTGGCTTGCCAGACAAGGGTATAATTTAAAAGAGCTATCTGTTGTTGTCTCCCCTCCCCATACCCTTCAGTTTCTGCTGCAAGGTGACAGGATAAAGATCCCATATTTCAGAATTGCTAACCAAGATCTAAAGTGATTGCTTACTTTCTGCTATGATTTCCCTTTCCCCTAATCTATCTTCAGTTTTTTGCATTCCATGCTAGCGGGGGTCTATGTTTTTTTGGCAAACTTTTGTTGTTAGTCTAGATTGTTTTTGAATTTGGGGAGGACTTATGATTCCTGTATTGAATCAATAAGTCTCCAACTGTTTTTCTTTATTGTAACCCTTTTTTAATCAACATGTAAGGAGATCTATGCATCTCCTTTCTTTAATATATATATATATATATATATATACATCTGAGCTAGGCATAAGACTTCTTTAAGTGTACACTGCATCCTAGACTCTCTTTATTTAGCACTTGCTACCACTCAAACCATATACCTCAAATGGTGCAATAGTGTCCTTAACTAGCTCTCAACTTGAAGATGAGTCCCTTTGCTTTTATTCCTTACCAAGTCTTTTTATGATATCACACATATTTTATTTGATTTGATAATTCAAAATCTTAATTATAAATCAAAATTTCTATCTACTGATGCACAATAATGATGTTGCTCATCCAAATTTACAGCTTCTAAAAAAAATACACACACACATCAACCTTTGATAAATATCCTTCTTGATCATCCCCAGCGGATAACACCTTTTATATCACCAGTGAGTGTTCACTAAGCTACCCATGCTGGATACTAGCACAGTTCCTTCCTTATTGAGTTATATACTCTTTAAGGGAAAGTTAACTTCAACCTTTCTCAATTAGTCTGTTGATCACCCCTTTCAACGCCAATACATGCGGTGTGCTTGTTTAGCACACCACACCTATTGGGGGTCCATTTGTTGACCTCACTTTTAGGTGAGGGTTTTGTGGCTTTCCTTTAGTGATTAAGATCTAGCCTTAGGACTTTTTTAAATGACTATCTAAGCATCTTAGAAATGGTACCCACCTTCTCTTTAGACATTTCAACCAAATCTTTAATTCTCTATGTTAGATTCTCTATGTTAGTTCTATATGTGATCAATAATCTTTAATACAAAGATTAACGATTATATAAGGGAACTCTGATGAGAATTCCTATAGGAACTATGGACCATTGGAAAGCCATGCACCGTTCTACACCTTTTTGGACTTCAATATATTACATCATTATTTATAATCATCATGATCATCATAAACATTGCATTTTCATATCACAATGTTGCAATCATTACACCCATGGGGCTGACCAAAATTATATGAACCCAGTTTCACCTAAAAACCCCATTTGAATATTCTATCTCTTCAATATTCCTCAAAACTGCCATTGAATCACAAAACCCACTTTAAATCATGTGATATTATCATTGGAAGCATTTGAAACCCAAACCATTTGAAATCAAAAAATTGCAAAAATACCCAATTTTCCAAAAAAATTACCAAAATGCCCCTAGACCCCCAAAATATCAAATTTTGATCATAATATCCAAAATAACGAAAACTTAAAAAATACTTTGGGGATCATAAAACCTTCCACATTGATCGAAAAAGACCCTAAACACTGTCGTTTGACTCCAAATTTTTTTCCTGAACCACCTCGAGTCTTTAAATCAAACTCTTAACTACTTTGACTAAGGTCGGCCAAAATTACAAAAATGCCACTCATGGCCCAAAATTCTCAAATCCACCAAAATCCTTTCAAACACCCCTGAAATCAATTCATGATCATCCATTGGATCAAATTTGACCAAATTCGCTCACTTTGACCAAAATCTCTAAATTGAGCTTCATGCCATCCATTGGATCAAATTTGACCAAATTCACTCACTTTGACCAAAATCTCTAAATTGAGCTTCATGACCAATCAAATACCTTAAAATTCAACATATCTAGATCCAATTTCCAATGAATCCAAATCCATTTAATTGGACCATGATTAATTTTTAAAATGATCAATCACGAACCAAAACTATGATGAAAATTAAAATGCATTTTTGACTCAATCGTAAAAGAAGTGCTCTGAATGACCCCAAATGACAAAGCAGATCACGCGAGCGTGCCTGAATTGTCGATTTCATCTAGGGAGGACGTTCATTTCACCGCGAAGAGGCGTTCGACAAAAAATGTATGGAGAGATTTAAATAATAATAATAATATTAATATTATTATTATAATATAAAATAAAAATAAAAATATCTTATTATCCTTATTTCATTTCAACCCACACATGCATGCAACATGTCTCATTAAATGCATCAATAATATATATATATATATCTCTCCCTCTCTCTTCTAATACATGTATATATAGTTACAAAACAATTACAAGGTATTAAAGTAAGGGAGAGCCATATTATCTCCATTAAGTAAAAAAGATAAATGTGAAGTAGGAGCATCCCCAACATAAATCTGCTCTGTGTTCCTTTGCAAGGAAGCAAGCCACAGGGCAGTTGCCCTCCCTAGGAATGTGCTTAAATTCCACCCTATAGCATTTTAACAATATTTCAGTTGGCTATTCCACCTGAGTAAGCTCCAAGGGGGAGATTCTTCACTAAGCAAAATGTTGATGCAAACAGTAGAGTCAGTTTCTACAATCAAAGGGCCCATATGACATTGGTGTGCAATTTCGATGGCCTAGTAAATTGGTCTGAATTCTGCCTCCAAAGCAACAAGGGGCAATGTAGGAGCAGTGAAATATAAAATACATTTTCCATGGGAGTTTCTAAAGATTCCCCCAACTCCAACATTACCTTTTGAAAAATTGCCATCTTTGTTTACCTTCAGCCAGCCATGAATAGGGGGGCTCCAAAAAACTAATCTGGATTTATGTGTATAAAAATTATTCTTATTAAGGGTCCAATCTTTGAAAACATTTGGGAATAGATGGTACCTGATCAAATTCTGAATGTATGAAGTAGAGTTGAAGATCATAGATTTTATCCCATAGACATGTTCCTCAAAATTTACTTGATTTCTACACATCCATATGAACCAAGCAACCAAACAAGGGATCACTAATAGATTAATAATCTGCCAATCCTCCTAGAAGCTAAAAAAATGAACCAACTTAAGTTAAAAGTGTCCATTTTGTGGTGGTCAAGAAGCCTTGACCAGATTCTTTGAGAGAACTCACAAGTCAAAAAAAGATGATCTAATGATTCTTCAGAAACATTACATAGATGGCAGATTGAAGGCCCTCTCAACCCTTTCATCTTTAAGATTTCATCAGTAGGAAGTAAGGAATTACAAATTCTCCCACATAAGAATGACATAGAAGGAATTAGGAGCTTATCCCAAATGGCTTTACCCCAGGCCACCTGATTCCAGTGCAAGCATTGATGGTAAATGTAGGCAGATAGCTTCTGAGATTGGGCTTGTTTAGTAACAATTTTGTCTTTTTGATTAGGTGAGAATTGAATATCCTTAACCCATCTAACTTGCTCATTAGACAAGACATTGTTGAGCATCCTGTAGTTCCAATAATCCTCAGACCAGTAATCTTTAATCTGACTGTTAAAGTTGGGGTTGGAGATAGGACACTCAATCTTCTCCCCATTGCAAACCCAATTATCCAACAAAAAATTAACTTGCCCTTCTCCAAGCTCCCACAGAAAAAGTTCTTCTGTCTAGTTTCTAATACTCATCAGTTTGGACCACATCCTAAAATCTCCCAATTTTTTAGTTACCACGATAGGATGCATAAATCTGCAATACTTTCCCATCATAAATCTGGCCCAAAGGCTGTCATGGGCCCTAAATCTAATCCACAACTTACAAAGGTTGATAAAGCTCAGTTGTTGAAAGTCCTTGAAACCCAGACCTCCAACCTGCAAGGGTTGGCACACCTTCTACCAAGGTAGCCAACGATATTGTTTCCTTCGTCCAGACCAAAGAAAATTTTTGAAAATTCTTTCAATTGCTAATTGTGTACCCTTTTGCATAGTAAACATTTGAAGAACATATGAAGGCATGGAAGTCAGAATTCTCCTATGAAGGGTGATCCTCCCACCATTTGACAGAAAAAAGTTAGTCCAACAATCAAGCTGAGCCTTGATTTGATCAATAACTTCTTGAAATTAGATTAGTCTAGTTTTGTCTTTAATTAATTGAACACCAAGTTTCTTGATACGAAGAGTGACATGATTAAACCCAGTGTATTTAGAAATCCAATGCTTGACCTGAGGACTAGAGTTAGTACTAACAAGAAATTGACATTTTTGTCGATTAAGATCCATACCTGAAGCTTGCTGAAAATGCAGGAGGCCTTTGTACAACATCCTGACAGTATTTTTAGAGGCATTTGAGAATATGATAATATCATCTGCATAAGCTAAATGGCTTATTATAATGTTGGATCTATGATGGTAAGTCAAATGAGGTGAAGCAACAACTTATTCAACAATCTAGAGAAGTAATCCAGCGCTAGAATGAAATTAGTAGGAGACAAGGGGTCTCCTTGTTTGATTCCCCTAGAAGCATTGAAAAAACCATGGCATTTCCCATTAATCAACACTGAATGAGCATTACACTTCAGCCATCTGTGAATCAGATTAATGAACTCTCCATTAAAGCCTCTAGCAGAGAAAGTTTTCAGAATGAATAATGAAATCTCAAATGATTGTGTCATAAGCCTTATTTATACGAAGTTTGAAAATAACATTTACCCCTCTTCATTTCCTATCAAGATCCAATAGGAGTTCCTGGGCAAGCAAGATATTACTAGTAATATTTCTCTCTTTCACAAAGGCAACTTGATTATTACTGATGAGGTTCTGATGATGTGGCTGAAGCCGGAAAATAATAGTTTAACTAATCAGTTTGGAAATGACATTAGATAGACTGATGGGCCTGTAATCCCCCCAGTTTTTCTTATTCTGATTCTTAGGTATCAAGGTAATAGTAGAAGCACTAAAATATATAGGAGGATCCACTCCATTAAATAAGTTTTGAATAGCATGTATAATATCCTTACTAGTCTTACCCTAAGTGACTTTATAGAATGTTGAAGTATACCCATCTGGCCCAGCCGCCTTTTGGCCATCAATAAAATCTAAAGCAAGCTTTATCTCTTCCTTCAAAGAAATACTAGTCAAATTTATACCTTCAACATATTGCAGGCAGTCAGAGAAAAGATCTATCTTAATTGGAGTTTTATCAGTTTGTCTGCTAGTAAACATATTGAGGAAGTATTGAACAACATCATGAGCAATCTCTTCATTAGTAGTAAGTTTCTGACCTGTGGAATTGGTGATTTTTAAGATCATATTGCATTTCCTCCTGCAATTAATACAGGCATGATAATATCTAGTATTTCAGTCACCATCAATAAACTTAGAGATAGATGCCTTCTGCTTCAAAAAACTCTCATGGTAGTTAAGTTTTGAAAGAAGTCTTTCATTGGCTTGGTGGACTTCAAATTCAGTATTTAGACCCATTTGAAGTCCCTCTTCTAGTATGTAAACTTTTTCTTGAGAAACATCAAGATTATCATTAACATTGCCAAACCTTTCCCAATTCCATCTTCTAAGATGTAAGGCCATTTTCTTTTTGCAGTTTCCACAGCCTAATCCAAGGATTGTCCTCATTTTCAAAATCCCATGTTTTTTCAATTTCATGAAGAAAGTTTGGATGTAAGGTCCACATATTCTGAAATTTAAAGGGAGTACTAGCAGGTCTGATAGAGATCTGTATAGAGCAAAGAATCGGTCTATGGTCTGAACTAGCCATAACAAGGTGTGTGAAAACAGTATATGGATCAGTTTGAAACCAAATGGAATTACCAAGTAATCTTTCCAATCTTTGTCACAGAGTACCCCTCCTCCAAGTGAATTTAGGCCCTTAAAAGCCTAAATCAAACAGGCCAGCAGTATGGATGAAATTGTTGAACTTGGCTATTACATAAGGAAATGGGGCATTATCCCCTCTTTTTTCAATGGGGGAAGTAATGCAATTAAAGTCCCCACCCTGTGCTCCAATAGAAAATTGGATATGAATAAATTGTGGGTGATCAAGTAGCATAGTGCACTGAATTTCAGATCTAAAAAAGAGCCAGATTTTATTATTAGAATTGGCATAGTAAGTGAATTTAGCAAACTTTTTTATAATATTTTGAGGATATTTTGTAACCATGGGCTCAAGTATTGCAAAGCACCAAATCTTATGAGTTCTAGTGAGATATTTCAATCTCGTTAAAGAGGAGGGGTGAGCCACTCCTCTTATATTCCAACATAACAAGTTAATCATTGAGAAAAGGTCCTCCCCTTCCTGCTAGTCCTAGGATGGTGTTCCACATGGATAGTGGAAGGTCCATCCAAATGTTGTTTAACCTCCAACTTGCCTTTTTTTTGTTATTGCTTTTTTGAACTTGCCATTCATATGTTAACACATCTGTTAGAATATTGAGTGTTGGATCATCAAATTTGTGTGGATTAATAGCTAATAAGCTGTCATCTATGATATCATTCTCCATCAGTCTTTTTCCTACAGAAGAATCCTTATCATTATTGTCCATCTAAACTACCACTGTAGTATTAGGCAGGATAGTCATAATGGGAGTAACATAAGCATTTATATATGAAGTTACACCAACACCAGACCCTCTTACCCCATCCTTTTCTACTACTTCTAATTGCCTAGATGCAGTAGGCTTGTCCACTAAAGTCTTCTTTCTATAAATTGGATGAAGTGTGTAGCACTTTTCCAGACTGTGTCCAAACATTCTTCAATGTGAACAATAAATGGGTTTTTGATCCACCACAATCCATTGCCAAAAACCTTCATCTCGATTGCCAATCCAAACTCCCGTGTAGCACTTTTCCAGACTGTGTCTAAACATTCTACAATGTGAACAGTAAATGGGTTTTTGATCCACCACAATCCATTGTCAAAAACCTTCATCTCGATTGCCAATCCAAACTCCCTCAATATTAGGGCGTGTTATATCCCTTTCTACAAGGACTCTAACTCCTGCAGGCCTTGCCATATTATAAGTTGGGGCATCAACTTTTGGAGGGCATCTAAGAACTCTACTGATGCTAAGGAGTACATTTTAATGGTAGTATTGTATGAGGAGATTGGAGAATTTGAACCATATAAAAACAATTGGGGTTCCTTATTAGGATCAAACCCAGGTGTCCACTTCATCAGTTTGATATGAGCTCCATTAATAATCAAAATCTACTTAGGAAAAACTCTTGCATAGTCTTCCTCAGTGAATAATGTAATTAAAAGATGTCTTCCATCTAATAAACTCAGCCTCCATGAGCCATTCAGCTTTAACTCATCAAAGTATTTTCTTACAAGGTCCATCTTAGGATGTCCATATTGGAATTTTCCTATTAAATTAAATTTGATAGAAGCATTCAGGACTTGAATTTCCTGTGTCGAGAAAATGATGGCAGGTTCCCCTTCCTTCATCCCTAATGGATTGACATAAGGGCAAACTCCCTTCTCTGTAGCGGCATCATGTAAGTTTTGTGGAAACACCAAGTGTTCAAAGGACTTAGGAACATCAATGCCACTTCCAACTACATCAGCAAAGGTAGCCTTAGTACATTGTGCATTGGTCTCCACATCAATGGGACAAGCCATTGTAAAGGCCAAAAGAAAACCAAAGAGTACCAAGCTGACAAAACAACTTGATAAAGCAATGCAAAAGAAAAAGCCAGAAAGAACTAGGGTTCCAAACTAGTTGGAGAAAAGAACCCAAACAAAGGTCAAATGAAAAACAACAAAAGGCCAAACTTAGTCCACCAAGCTATAAAAGCAATGGAACAGTAAACTGTCAACAAGTTTATCCAGCAAGCAATAGAACAGTAGCAAGAAATCAAAAAGGTGAGGCCCGGGAAACTCCTAATCAAACAGGAGCACCCAAACTTCCCACCAAACCAGAGAAACTTCTTGAAACAGGAACAAACTCATCCACCAAGCTCCACGGCTCCGCAAAGAAGAGCCATCAGTATCCAAACCCTAGCAGAGCAAATCCAGATCCTGCCACCTATATATATATATATATATATACCTTAAG